CTGCATTGTATTCTAACCTACTGAATACATGAAACTAAATACGAAAAACACTTTCATTGCGGCACTTTCTTTGTCCACTTCCAAATGCAAGTTATAACTCCAACAGCAAGAAAGCTCCCAAATTTTGCTCATTCCCAGGCATCAGTAGTACATTTAGATGAGCAATAACATGCAATACACTTTCAAATTAAAAAACATTACCTTGTAGATTAATTTATATCAAAAATTTAACCTTGCCAAGGAACCTATACGAGAGAGCAATGCCAAGAAAAATTAATGACACGTTCACAAATAATTCCAATTGAAAATAGCTACAAAAAATCCACTTATCTGAACTTTCCTAGCTTTAGGACAAGTTTGTACCTTCCCCCCATCACACGCATACTAGACTTCAGCAGACTAGAAATCCACTTCAAATATTATATACTTTTTCAAACTTCATAGTTGTTTAGGCAAAGAGAAATGGCAAAATACTGGCGTTTTACTATGCAGACTACGGCCAACAAAAAATAAGATCTGGACACAGTCCTTATGTGAACAAACATACTACTGTCGTATCTTTTTTATTCAGGCCCTCATCAGCAAATTATCACTATGTTAAAAAGAGAATATAGCACAACTTCTCCTCAAATAATAAAGTCTATAACAAAAAAAAACCAACATGAATCCAGTATAGGTCTAATACTCATTACCCATGGACTCCGTAGGTTTAAAATAGCATACAATGTAAATATATTTACACAAAGGCTACCATCCCAAGTTAACTCACTAGTGATAAGGGGAAATATCTACAGCCTGGACCCACTACTGTTTTTTCACTTAGGTTACATAGTTCTTTGCAATGATGAAGTAAATAGAATTGTTAAAGGACACCTTTTTCTAAGCATGAAAAACAAGAACTTCAGACAGCAATACCAGTTTATTCCGAACTGCATGTGTATTTATGCTTAATATTAAGAGTGGGTAATGTTAAACCGGACTGATGACCAATTACAATTAACACAATATACTTATACACAATAGCAATAACCAGTTTTGAAGAGTAGCACAGAGTTCTCTACCATGAAGTTTGGACAGTTAGAATAAGCCACTTCCATTGTCTCCTGCAACATCACAGAGACGGGAGATGTTTACAGATCCTAAATCAACAATTCATCAGTGTCAGCATCGGCATCAGCAGCAACACCGCCCCCACCCCAGTGTAGGACTAGGGCAGGCAGCTCTAGGGCAGCAACTGCACTTTCCAACCCGCAGCTTCTGTAAACAGGACCTCTTCAGAAACTGACATCGAACAATCGCACACTCCTCTCTCCACGTCCCCGGCTGGTTGAGTTTTCGGCACGCCTCCTGCTCCCCTCCCCTCCCCAGGAGGGACCGACATCCAGGAGAAGAGCGATGCTCTGGAATTCCTCCAGAAACCTGCTGGCAGCAGGCAGCCCTGCTACACCCCAGGCCTAATCCCCTCATCCCCAAACACCTCCCCCACCCCCGCTTCATGCTCGCCCCCGCTGCCCCCACCTCCCCACGAGCCATTCACAGCTCTCCCCCCCTTTGGGAAAAGTCTCTCTCCCCCCCCCCCCGAAACCCCCCCCGCCCCCCCCCTTCCTCTGCGTCCCACCCCTCCCCCACCCTGCCCCTCCCATGCCAGCCCCACCCGCTCTCCCTACTCTCCCCGCCCCACCGCCCCGGGGGGGTGGCAGCCCAACATTACCTCTCCTGGGTCCCCGGGGAGGAAGGGAACGGCCAGGAGCCCCCGCCTCCTTACAGCTGCCGCGCTAGGCCCCGATGCCCGAAACGGCGGCAGCGCCTCCCCCCCAGTTGCCCGATGAAACCCTCCCCCTCTTACCGGCAACGCGGCGCTGGAACGGAGCAGACGGCCGACTCTAGCTAGGGTCGGGACTCGCGGAGTCTCTCACCTCAGCCTCAGCTCCTCCGTCGCCGCCATCTTGTCTCCCCTCCCCCCGGCTTGGGCGGCTCCTCCCCCCTTGGCCGGGTCCTAACAGCTACATAACAAACCCGCATAGCCAGAGGCCCGTTTCTCATTTTCTGCCCACTGTCAGGGGCGGATCACAAACACTCGGCCTTTTCCTATTCTCCATGGGAGTCCCAGTGGCACCGGACCGGGCCGATCCGTTCCTGGGCAGCGGAAGGAGGGATGTCACTATACTGCTGCCAGGACCCGTCGGTCTGTGCAGCGGTAAAGGGCTCCCCCCCATGGGGGGGAAGAAGCGGGGTGCCCGCGGCAGGGCCATAGGGGAGACTCACGGAGGGGAGGGGGCAGCCTTCGCTATTTAGTGGGGAGCGGGCAAGGGGGG